AAAAAAAAATCCCCATCTGCACAAATACTGCCTGGCCACAGTGGCCCTGAACTCTTTGCTCCTCATTTCTGGCTGCAGGAATTATTATCCAGGGAAAAGAAGCTTTTACTCACCCTCTTATAGTTGCACTCAGTGTTGGTTACTAGACAAAAGCATCAGCTGAATTCATGCTACGTAAAAATAATATCTTGAAGTTCTTTCAGTTTATTTCGCACAAAAATTCTGAATAGAGCTTTGGTTTTGCTGCTCAGAAGGAAAGGCTTTATGCCATACTTCTGGCAGTCTGCAAAGCCACCTAAAAGCCCCAAACCAACAATGCGTCAGTCAGTCTTTCGGCAAATTCCATCTTCCTTACACCATCGCTGGCTTTCAGCCCTGAGTCCATCTTTTGCTCCTGAAGATGGGAGCTCTTTTAATGGTGGTTAACTTAAAGTGCCCATTTTCACTGAAACACGTCACCCACTGGAATCATGTGGCTCCAGTGTTTTGGTCTGTTTTTGAAGTGCTTAAAAACATGGCACTGCAGATGTAAGCCACAAGCAGAAAGATTAATCTGCCTTTTATTTTCTTAAATATCATTTTATTATTATCATCATTTTGTCTATAAAATAATAGAAAATCGTTAAAAATGATAATCGTCATTTTTTTGGTTTTGCAGATTAACCCACCAAACCCTCACAAATTGGAGCTGAACCTCGAACAAAACCCAGAGAAGAATGGTGGTTGCTGAACCATGAAAAATACAAACCAATGGTATTACAGCATTGACGTCCAAGCACAGAAAAGGTTCATAACATCCTTAACTGCGTGATGTTGGTCACATCTACTCATTATAGTGTAGATATTATATTCTGACTGTATCGTTAGCATGATCTTTGTTAAAGAGTGCAGGTCGGGGGAGACAGAGACGCCGATCACATTGGGACTGACTGAAACTGACGCTGGCTTCAAAATAACTGCCTGGTTGCATTACAAAGAATGCTTCAGTGGCAAGACTTGCTCCTAGAAGGCTTTAATTTAACTAATCAAATGACTAAAGAGCCTTCAGCCAGTTATTTGAACTGTTCCAGCTTTACTTATCAGATGATGTAATTATTCATTTTGTCTTTTAACTGAATTTCTTTAGACCAGCTACAAACACACAATTCAGCTCTATTAACACTACACTAAACATAATGTAAACACTTTCCTTAAATCACTGTTTAAATCTGTCTGGGGACTGAATGATGATCTCTTGCTTGTCAATAACAAATAAAGTAATATTACAGTAGGACAGGTGCTGTTAAAAAAAAAAAAAAAAACAACCCAAAAAAACTGTACAAATATATTGTGCTTCTGAGATGTGGATGGCTGGTGATTGATGATGCAGCCATAAACATTTATCAAAAATGTATTTCATATGCAGGACAATCGCTCGCACGCACTGATGTATGCTGCTGTGTTGTTTCCATGACCATTATGCATGACACCTGTTTGTACTGCAACTTGCAGGGCGTATTACCACCCATAGAGACTATGATGGGTGTTTGACACTGTTTAGCTGAGGAAAATGAATACTCTTCCAGTGTGTAATCTAGTGTGGTGTCAGTTGTGCATCTCATCAGAGAAGCCAATGGAAGAAGAAAAAATAGAAGCGAGGATGGAGTTCATTTTGCTCGTTCAGTACAGGAGAGAAATGTACTCACTTCATCTGCTTGACAATTGTGCTTTTCCCTGATTCGCCAGCACCTGGAAAAGACAAACATAAATAAATAAATACAAAAGTGGACTTTACTTGAATATATCTGAAACCAACCTTTATATTAACCAGCCCACGAAAGTCTATGCCTTTACACGAGGATTCAGTGCGACCAAACAGCATGACGGGAAACCGTGAAAACGCAATCTGATACACGATCACGTCAACCAAAGGACAACTCCTAAACAACACTGTGATTGTATGAGTGCGCTTTGAGGTCTGTGCATGACTTTAGCGTTTAGGTTAAAGATTCTCTCTCAGCTCCGGGCAGTTACAGCCTCTAATACCCTGATTCTTAAATCCCCAAAAATGGGACTGAATCTGTTGCTCTGTAAGCTGAATGCTCGCCTGGGATTTCTATCAGCATTTTGTTCACTTGGTATGAAAGCCGTGGGCGCATAACTAATGATAAGGAATTATTGACAGCAGCAGCGAGGTGCCTTTTCAGGATGGCAAGACACTAGGCGCTGACCACTAATCAGATTGACGTCAGTTTCCTTGATTGATGAGACAATACTAGTGGTGGAGTAGCGGGTGCTCATGAAGAGAATGCAACCGTCGGCATGGCTTTTGTGGATCTCGAAAACCTCACAGTGTCATGATGACTCCTCTCGTTAATTCTGGGCCACAGTCACCTGAAGAGACCATGTGGCTCTGTGTGGGTCACATGTGGGTTTTGACTGCAAGTCCACTACCTATAACACATCCTTCTGCTCCCTTTCCTCTACCACACCAGTCCAGTGGGTGCGCCCTTTTACTGATATTTCTCTTTCACCGATAAAAGCCCATATGCGATATCTTTACAAACCACATTCATTAGACTTGCGTGCTCTAATGGGTATTACCATAAACTACATCAGAACTGCTAATGCACAATCAATGTCCTCATATTACATATATATAGTGAAGCAATTGGCCACTTCTTGTTGACGTAACACTCCTCTGCCAGTAGGGAAGGTGTTCCTAACCACTAAAGCGTGGCCAATCCCCCAAGTAAACACCCACAGCTCCTCTCTGTCATCCCTAGAAACAGAATAAGAGGAAGTGGAATCATATCATGAAATCTACCACTATCTTTTACCTCGTGATGGAGTCAGCAGGGACAACATGGTGTGCTCTTGCATAATAAATCACCCAGCTAATCTAGTTCCACTTTCCTTGTGATTGCAAAAACAAAACGAAGAAGAAGAAGCAGAAGAAGAAGAAAAAAGGGACATATTGCATTTTTTAGTGCCACTTCTTGTCCAGCCTGCCTTATGCAGTAAGAAAGCATTATTTATAAAAACTTGAAAACAAAATAAATATTAATTAAAAAAAAAAAAAAATTAATATATTCTATACTATATATAATATAATATTATATATATAATCTAATAATATATAAATATATTATATATATTAATAAATATATATAATATATATTATACTTTATATATATATAATAAAATATAATAATATATATATAATATATATATAAATATATATATAATAATATATAATATATTATATACTATATATATATATATACTAATATATATATATATATATATATATTATATATAATATTAATTAATATAATAATATATTATATATATATAATATAATTTTTTTTTTTTTTTACTGCAGTATACACAGCTTGTGACTGCATTCCTGCGAACTTTCCTTCAGTAACAGCTGCATGCTGGCAGAGCACTGGCACTTCACCTTCAGTATAATTGGACGAAATTCACCTGAGGACACATTATTTTAATTACGTGTCACCACTCGGGTGCTGGAGCGCCCCTGGGGGGGTTGACGGTGCAGTGGCAGCTCCCCGTGCTCCGAGGCCAAAACACTCGGCTGTGTGAAGCCCTGCAGGACTTGCGCACAGACGGTGCAACCGCTGTTGCCTGGGCATGGCTTGCTGGTGAGCTGGCACAGTTGCACCCCTCGGCCTGCCCAAGACCCATTTTGACAATGTCGCTGGGAGTACTTTCCTACAGAAAGGTTGCACTAAGCATGAAATAGTTCAGAGCTGAGAAGAATCAGTTAATTAAAATCAGCAATTACTGATCATTCGGGATTAAGAATGACCATATTTCGGTACCCTTTTAGAGGGATTTCTTCATATTCAAGACGACAAATTATCAGTGACTCTTGAGCGAACTGTTGCTTAAATTCAGTGCAAATCACGAGAAGAACTTTCTTTATTATTACACCAAAGAAAGTTTAAAAAAGACATCTATGAAACATAAGCCACGTGCTTATACAAGTGAATTGACCCTGGTGTCTCAACAGCGACATAATCAGGGTGTGGCTTTCGTCAAAGTCTCACTATTTGAGGAACATAGAGAGAAAGTCGAACCGACTCGCTCTCTCCTTCACTCACACACACAGACCTTTAAGGGTTACTTTAGAACCACGGGCCTGACCTATCGCTCTTCATGCAGAGTCACGTTACACGCCCACAGCTTTGATACACCCACCCTAAAACAGCTAGAGTCAGAACCACTGGAGCAGCTGGTTTCTGTTTCTAGTGGTTCAAACTATTTTAGGAAAATTCGAGCAAACCCTTGCAGTGAAAATTGTGGTTTTCTTTCCCCCCTCTCTACTTCTTCCACTGAGAACAGAGCCGTTTCTATCTACTGACCGCAAACACATCTTCCCTCCTGGACCCTAGTTGGTCCTTTCCTCAAGTAGGGAGACAGGGAGGGACATTTTAGAAGAATGTGATTAAAACGGCTGCCGTGGCCGGGCTGTCTCATTTATAGATTAACCATATGTTGCTGATGAATGTTGTGGAGAATGAGTAATGCGATACATGCAAACCAAAATTGCAGTTAAAAGTGAAGTAAAAATTCTCTTCATTCGTGCTGGCTTTGGGCTCGGATCGATGGCATGAAGATAAATTTGTGTGGGTCATGGGGTTTAAGCAGTTCAGGGGCTCAAGGAGAGCTTATGAAGTTTGGCACAATGTGCTAAACACATTAGTGATGCCACATTAGCAGCAGGAGCCCAACACCACGGAACCCTTCCCTCTTTTAGTTTTCCCACTCTTATTCAGCTGCACGCATGCTTCTTCCTCTTTTACATTCTCCCAGTCTCCTATAGTCATTTTCTCTTTATGATTTAATGTTCCTCTCACTCACTATCCAATTCCTCTTTTCCACCCCCCTCCCCTCCTTCTCCCCCTTTCGGGGATTTAAGTATGAGTCACTCGTGAAGGATTCCAGGAGCCTCGGAGAGGTGCTACCCGCCGCGGGAAACGACCACGCTAAATCACAGAGATCGATCTGCCAAAAAAGAAAAATCGACAACTAAAAGATTGCTTACCACACGCACGCTGGCACAGACTGACCCATTCGATGTCTAATGTGCTTACAGCAATAAAAGAGTTATTTAACTACTTTGTCATCTCTGTTTACTGTGAGATGGGGGCCATCTTCAAGCCATCTTGCAAAACTGGTTTTATAATTAGTAAAAGAACAAAAATACGGGGGGAAAAAAATGAAAGAGAGACCGATGACATGAGTCAGAAAAAGCCCGAGGTTTATTAATAAAATCTTCCCACAGTTGCGCGACAGCTATAGAACGAGTAATTAGGCTGAGGAGATTGTAATCTATTTTAGCATGTAGATATGAATAGTAGGATAATTGGGTCCTGGAGATGATGGAAATAAAATGAGAGCCATATTAAGACTAGAGCTAAATGAAAAATATGTTTCTCAGAAAAGACCACATTTCCTCACTCTGCGAGAGACACCTGAGCCTGCCAGCTGGTTTGGACTTGACGCCCTACAAAGATTCAAATCATTTTTTTTCATGCAAATTGAGTTTTGCTTTTTTACGTCAAGGCAATTATTCTTTGCTGCTGACAGGGAGAGACCATGAGCCTGTAATTAACATTTAGGACAGCGCTGTGGCCACCTGTTGTATACAAATATCTCGACACCGGGTTGAGGTCACCACCACAAGCTGCACAAAAGATTTAATGTTCTTTGAGTGCATCCAGAGGTATACAACAGCATCCCTGAATACACTGTTGACAGGGTGTGTTTAGAGAAAAGTATACTCATGAGTGGCTTGCAAATCACCAGCCTCAAGTCTACTCAGTGACTGTTTTTCTGCAAGGTAAACAATTCAAAAGCCCGACTCGGGTCCCCGTGCTTCACCGCACCGCAGCTTTTTTCATTTTTAATGCTCTCGTCATTAGCACTGTTCTCGTCTTACAGGTCCTCTTTTTCTTTTCTCCTGGCATCTCAAACTCTGTGTGTGTGTGTGTGTGTGTGTGTGTGTGTGTGTGTGTGTGTGTGTGTGTGTGTGTGTGTGTGTGTCACTTCAGGCAGGAACCTGAAGAGGCCGAGCGGGTTACCTGGCTACCACACTGAATGGATCAAACACAGATGACAGGCGATGGAGCCAAAGCAGCCACGAGTGGCGCCACGCGACCTATTCTATCAGAAACTGAGAAGTGCAAAAGCAGTGCCACATGTTTTTGTGTATGATACATGTTTAAAAAAATTAAAAAAAAACTAAACTAAAACTAATATTCTTCCCTACAGCGACATAGCAGAAACTTGACCTTACTTGCTTGCTTTTACTCAGCAAGCCCCATCTGGCCTCCAAACACCGAAGGAATGCAACTGATCTGTAATGGGAAAATATGCACCGACTTGTACAAACAAAACCATACCCTAGTAAAAGCCAATTGTGTCCCATCAAGTTTTACACACACACACACACACACACACACACACACACACACACACACACACACACACAGTTATCTTCATTCAAAAATTAAAAGTAATGGTAGAAAATCTGCTTCTGAATTGTGTGTGCCTTCTGTTAGGTATTTGCCTGCTACTGGCATTTCCCTCAGACTTTGTGTCCTGCTAACCCACATACCACATGTGTGCATATCAACACTTCCCAAAGTGAGCCACCTAAAAAGGGTTGATGGAAAAGTTTTTCACCTGTGGTCTTTGTTTACAAGCAAAACAATGCTTCCCCACATCTCAGCAACACTTTCAATCTACACACACGTCTAGCTACTAAATGGAAACCGTTCACATAATGGTACACGCAGGGTTGTCAGATGGAGCTAGGAAATGACAAAACACATGAAATAAACGCAACAAATCATAATTATGAAGTGTAATAGTTATCAGTGGGTGTGCTGTGCCATTTAAATTACATCTCTGAGGTCAGTGGCAATTTAACACAGCAACAGCATATACTAGGTGGATTCGGGTACACAAATGAAGATCAATCAAAAATGATCACTGCAAAGAAGTGGCATGAGGCCACTATATCTACATCAGCATCTAACTTCATACAACTTCGCTTGTAAGTTGATCGGTTACAGCTTTGTTTAAATGAGTTCTGCTAATGTTTATGTGGCTTCTCCTAACTGAATCAGCCTTTATTCTGGCCTCTTGATTACTGTAATTTTCTGCATTTGTTGCACAAGCTGTGTGCCTATTGCTTGCAACACGCCTGCTTACGTCTTCAGATGAGAACAAGGAAACAGTGTTATAAAATAGGAAACAATAGGAATTTAACCTATAACGTCCTGAAACGAATTAAGTAAAAAAAAAAAAAAACCAAAAAAACCAAAAAACAGTTTTCAGTCACTCTGACTCAGGCCTGGGCCCCTAATGAGCCAAAGGCCTATTTTCACTGCACTGAACCGGACCAGACGAGAGGAAATGTGCCATTGTTGAAAGGATTTAGTCAATAAATTCTCCACGGAGACGGGCTGAAAGAATTAACGCCAACAGCTGGCAAAACAAAGAAAGAAAAATCTGCCATGCATGTGTAACCAAACTACAAAACTAACCCCTTAAAAAGCCAAATAAACGCAAAATGACATATCACTGGTATTTCGGCCACACTGGTGTCGTTTTTCCTTTTAAAAGGACAGGTTGTGTTACAAGTGAGAAGATTGGAAGCTTAACTGTAGCTAGCAAGGAGGAGGGGTGTAAGCTAGCGATGCGGAAACTCAGCAACACTTCACAACTAATGTAATCTAACAACCCCAACACTGACCATTAACCAGGGTGGTTAACGTGGGTTTCACAGCAGGGTGTGTTCCCAACCGTATCCTTTGAACTAGCAGTTCTGCGGGCGAACACACAGCGAAGTTCGTTCACCGCCCCCCTCCACCCCAATCTTCCTTACCGAGCAGCAGAAGCTTGACCTCCCTGGCTGCCTTCTCCCCGTCGTCCCGCAGATTTCTGTCGATCATTTTACTGCGCTCCACCGCAGCCTTGTCCTCGGTACTCAGTGTGCATCCCATCCTCGACTGTGTCCTTTAGACCCAGCTGGTGTCAAAGAATGTCTAAAATATCATATATACCCACATTAATTGGTTAATGCTGCCTTCACCCCGTACACACGCCCTTTTTTTAAATGACTGGCAATCGAGCTCTTCAGGGGGAAAGGGAAAGCGATTCGACTTTTCTTAAAAAAAAAAAAACAGCAACAACTCAGTTTTTCTTCACCCGACTGAAATGTCCTCAGGTTGAAATCCGAGGGAAAGCTATTTCGACAGCGAAACAATTCCTTGCTGGTGTCTCTCCCACCCGTTCGCCTCCATTCGTTGCAGCGCTTAGTACTGTGTGTGCAGTTGCGGGTGGTGCGCGCTGTACTGTGTTCCGAAAGCAGCAACGGAATCAACACTTCCGGCTTAATTTTCCACAATAAAAGAAACACCTTTAAACTGCATACAAAATCCCTTAAAATAAGCTTTATGCTATACTTTTACATATTCCGTGCATCGAAAATCAATCATTATATATTTTTACAAGATTTTCTTTCTTTTAATCATTTCATTATTATTTTCTTTTAGCAAGAATAAATGTCAAGCGATTCGTATGAAACTTTTATTTTGAAGGCAATCACCGTCAACTGGAAATGTGATCAATTGAAAAGCATTCCCATAGCACACCCATAGCTTACAACTGCTTGCCCAAATAATTTTTTTTTTCTAACTTAAAACTATTATTTTGATTAACAGTATACAACATTTTTATTTCACCATATGTGAAAAATATATATTTTTTTAAATAACCATGACATGTTTACAGTACTATGCAGTGTTTCACTTTAGTTCAATATTTCACCACATCTGCTTAGACTTATTGCAACTGGTTAGGCTACATAACAAGCATGTATTGCTCCCATGGGAACTACACCTCTTACCATAGCAGTCCCATCCCCCACCCATTCACAGCCGGTCACAACCATTGTTTGTGGCTTAAATAATTTAGCCTGGCAGACAAAGTCTGAGCATTCAAAGTAAGCAATGCACTTTTGTGCACACATTCCTGCGGAGCAAATGTCATTTCGTTGCCTTTCTGTACAACTTTTATTTACAAATGTGACTTTTTACGAGTACATGCAAATATACAACACTGACCTTTCTATTTTAGTCCTGTTTAATGTGGAGATTGGTTATGCAGCTCATGTCCTGCATACAGTTTGCTAGTAGATTTTAGGTTGTACACCCTAAGCAGTACTACCACTAGTACTACTAAAAGCTGATATAATTTTATACAAGAAAACAAAGTTATATGGATGTAATGAAAGAGGACAGAAGACTGGTGTGACAGAGGGGGTGCTGGGGATAGGGTGAGATGGAGGCAGATGATCCACTTTTGTGACCCCTAAAGGGAGAATTTGAAAGAAAAAGACTTAAAAAAAATGTAACCTATAAAATACTGTATGGTTGTGGTGCATTCATATTCTTCGAAAACATGATGACTAGACATAGTGAAGATATATACCTCAGTTTTTAAAAAAAGAAGAAGTTATAAAATACTTTCCCGGGTTTTACTTGCAGCCATAAGCACTGTATCTATTTTTTTTCTCTTCGTTTAACAAATTCTGTAACTTTCTGTGCTTAAAATAGCTGAAAATGTTCCAAAACTACTTGAAATTATCATCAAAATATGAAGAAACTACAACTTTGAACACATTTACTGTAAAGCATTACCAGTTTGTACCACGGGATGGTGCAACAAGTCAATGTAATGTGTGTCTAACCAGCCAAATGAAAAAAAGCATTGTTAATTAAAACCGGTGTACCCCACCTCATGTCACCTTATGAGACTAGGGAACCCGTCCCAACAGACACACCCAGTCCTGAACTGCCCTGAAGAAGATGATGGATAAATGGATGGACTTCTAAAATGTTTGACTGTTCCAGATTAAAAAAACAAACAAACAAACAAACAAATTTGCTTGTAGGTGTAAGGTGACCAAACATAAGTCAAGGAGCTAGAACAGAATTAATATTTAACATATATAACAGCAGTACCATAGTGCTAGAAAAGTTACATTCTGTTTTGAAAGTCGCTTCTGTTTAATTGAAGAAGGTGACAGAAAAACATCCTAGACTCTTCAGAGAGATGAAGTAAGCCAATCTTACGGAATATATTTAATGCCCTTCTTTTTAAACATTGCTTACTGTTTTGTTGTGCTGCTCTTCACAAGACTCAAAACCCCGTGGGAGCACTACATGGCTTTTAAATCAATAAAGCCCTTATAAAGGTGTACATTTTTAAGAAATACAGACCAATTTTGTGTGCATCCAAACAGTTTGCTAGTAAGTTTTTTCTTCCCCTAGTTTTAGACATTTTATGATTAAAATTACATGTTTCAAATTAGAAATAACTAAAGACATTAAAGTAAAGAAAAGAAAAAGCCTGTAGGTGTAGTGTGTGCCCATGCAAAGTGAAATCCTGGAGTCACACTTGCAATAAACAGTGAAGTCAGTCAGGTGAGATTCATCCTGTTTGACAACTGTATTTGTTTAAGCAGACAGAGACTGGCCTTTGGCAAAGATATGTAATGGAATTATTGTGTAAGCAGGCCCACTGTGCTGAACGTGCGGCGAGTAACGAGGCAAAGGTGGTGCTGCCCTCTAGTGGCAATAACACGTAACTTCAGAGTGCATGTGGTGGAAATCCTGAGTGGATATTTTTCTGCACAGCACCAAGCTGCACGAATTCAGAACGTTTAAAAGAGGCACTCCAATAGATTTACACCTAAGGAGTAATTTGCTTGTCAGATTGGGTAAAATACCCCCTTTAGAAAGCAGTACTATAATGACTATTGTTACACTGGAAGAGCTTTCTGTAATCGGACAAAATTACACCTCATCATGTCAGGGTGATGTCATAGGGGCTGTTATGGTTTCGGCTTGAAGCGTCACCTTCATAGCAGAAAGCATTTTTAGAATCTGTGTGCTTCCCAGGGAGGGTCTAAAGGCAGTTGCATTATGGGAAGTGTAGTATTCAGTGGTTTGGAATAAGGCCCATAAGGAATGAATGCCAAAACAAATCCACACTAATTTTCTTTCTCACCGCTTATAATATTGAAATGGCACACCAGGCATGCAGTCTTTTTTAGCACGTAGTCCTGTATAGCCAGAAAGACCCATCTATTAACCCTTGTGTCATATTTTTAAAAAACCAACGCTGAACACCCTGGGGACCGTTTTCGGTCCCGCCCGAAAAAGTGCTATAAAAAATTTATATATTAATATTTTATTCCACTTTAAATTAGCCAATCTTTTAGACCTACATCTCCTTGAAATATTCATGTCAAGTTTTAATTACATTTCGCGGATTTTAACCCTTTATATCCCGGTTTCGTCACATGAGCGCACTGCTTTTTTTGCCCCAAAAAACAAAAAACTTGAATATTTTCCAAAAAAAACATTTGAGGTAATATTCAATTGTTATTATAATTAGGCCTTTAGATGGACTAAAGATTGGCACCAACAGTCATTTCGATCGCCTTTTATTTTTTTTCCAGGAGCGCATTTCATAAAATGCACATTATCGACCACGCCAGAAAAAGTGCACTGTAAAAAATTTATATTCATTTTTTTTCCACTTTAAATTGGTCAGTCTTTTAGACCTACTTCTCCCTGAACTAGCCATGTAAAGTTTTAATTATATTTCGCGGATTTTAACCCTTTATATCCCGGTTTCGTCACATGAGCGCACTGCTTTTTTTGCCCCAAAAACATAAAACATAAAACATAAAATATTTTCCAAAAAAAACATTTGAAGTAATATTTTATTGTTATTATAATTAGGCCTTTAGATGGACAAAAGATTGCCACCAACATTAATTTCGATCCGTTTTTAATTTTTTTTGCAGAAGCCGAAAATGTCCCCAGGGGGCGCTGCTGCTCCTGCTCCCCGGGCAGGGGTGCCTCTGCCGCGGGGTGTGTTTCGCTCAGCGTCGGAGCGTATGGTACGGTTCTCGTTTCTGCAGCACACACTTCCGCTACCACGTGAAAACAAATACGTCATTTCCTGTTGTTTAAAAAAATTTTTCGCGCCATCAAACGATCCTAAGGGCAGAAAATGATCCGGAGCGAGCACCGGGCCAAGCTGCTGCTGCACGCGGGAAATTAGTCTGCCTTTTCCGGGTATGTATTTCGAGCAGGCCGCTGGAGAAGGTGTGTATGTTCCAGCAGGCGTCACATGTGGAGCAAGGGCGCCACCAGGTGGAAAATATAAAAAATTACAATTCCAAGGCCTCTTGTCCAAAGCAAAAGCGAAACCTAAGCCGTAATCCAGATATTAAAGGTCATAATTCTGCAGTGAAAAATAGCGTTTATAATGGGTTTCAATGGGCCCAAAACGGTCCCTAGGGTGTGCAGTGTGAGTATTTTTGCTGCTAAGCCGTGTTAGGCTGCTGTAAGAAAATCAGACTGAAATTTTGAATTTTTTACAAAAACGAAACCCGGTGGCAAGTTTCGCTATGCTACACCCAACACAGTGGGAATGGCGTTCATACGAACACGCAAAGGGACCGAAAAAGGTCCCAGGATGACAATCTATTAACTAAAACAAGTGTGAACGATTTTAGTGCTGTTCACCATGCCAGACTATGTAATTAAAGAAACACAAAAGATGACAACAACCTTTAAATGATTTCTCCATCCTTGCATGATTGTAATCAATATTATATTGCTGCTGAGCAAGCTCAAAACAAATAATGACAATAAAAAATAATTTCAACATAGACTCATGAAGCATGGGGGGAAATATCTTTGCGAGATAACGTGCAATTCATTTCCAGCCACACAGACACAAATACAGATAAGGCATTATAAATGCACTGTGATAATGGGAATATTCTTAATGATTTATGTGTTTCTTCTTTTTGAGCTTGTGTGGTCTTCCCCAGGACTGTAAATGAGTAGAAGTAGTAAAACAGACTAGATATACATATGGATAAAATATGGATCAGAATAAGAAAGGACTGCTATTATATACTCTTATACATCTTTGTCAGTGGTTTTATTATAAAATTTGCAATAAGAATAAACTAAAATCTAACAAAATCATGTACAATAACAACCTGCTCACGTTATACTCGCACCCCATGTCCTGTTTCAACCTTTCTCCTCAGCCAAACTGTTATCACCTTGCCAGAAAGTGCTTACTCATACTAGGTTAAAACTCCTATCAGCTGAACCATAATCCTGTCTTGTCATTATATAACTTAATTTATCTGGCACCTGCAAGATATGTGTGTGCCTTTACCTGGCCTTTGCTGTTCTGTCAACTCCTCTGATAGTACCGCCTGCCTGTGCTGCTGCTGCTGTTCCTGATACACGGGCAAGCTGCACATACTAGCACACACCACAAACACAGAGACAGAAGGAGAACAAGCAGCCAGGCAGCCAGACGGACGTACGGTTGGAAGGAAGGCAACACACACCACCATGGGCTGCTTTAGCATTAAGTGCGGGCTTTTAGCCGGATCTGTGTTTGGGGCGGTGATAGCCATCCTGGGAGGCATCCTTATCCCAGTGGGGGACATGATCATTGAGAGGACAGTCAAGAAGGTATGGTGCTCATGTTTCACCCTTGGAATCAGGATAGGGAGTGATAGAGAGTGTGAGTGTGTGTATGTGTGTGTGTGTGTGTGTGTGTATGTGGAGATCAAGGTGAATCAGGTGAAATGAGAGGGAAGAGGCGTATGTTGTGGAAAGCTGCTCCAAGCACTAAACAAGAAGCCGTGCAGAAAGCCAGGCGTGCCGTCTTGTTTTCGTCTGTCAAAAGCATGTGTGATTTCTTTTTAGACATTGTAGAGACGGTCTAAATCTGAACGATCTTTTAAAATAACAGAGCATCCTCCTTTTTCATGTATCAGGGGAGCTGCTGGCCTGCTGGCAGTCTTGAGGCATGTTAAAAATAGATTGTGTGTGTGTGTGTGTGTCTGTGGGGTTTTAGGAAGCTGTCATTGAGCCTGGAACGACAGCTTATGACAACTGGGCAGCTTCAGAGATCGCAATTTACAGGCAGTTCTGGTTCTTTGACGTGAAAAACCCACAGCAGGTCGTGCAGGAAGGTGCATTTCCAGAGGTACAGGAAAAAGGACCGTACACATATAAGTAAGTTGCATTTGTTTTCCTCCTGCATATCATTTTAATTTCAAAGTCATTCGGTATAGTGATATTGTTTTAGTCCTTTATCACATTTATCTCATGGCACACCACATGCATTCATGACCCTCTCCTCATTAAGGACAAGATATCTTCCCAAAGCGAACGTCACATTCAACCCCAATAATACTGCCTCCTTCGTGCTGCCCTTGGGTGCCATCTTCGAACCATCCATGTCAGTGGGACCAGAGGAAGACACAGTCACCTCACTCAACCTGGCAGTGGCCGTAAGTGTCAGGGGCTGTGCATAGTGATTCCCAACTTGTGTCAGCTCTGCTTTTAACAGTTTCTGTACCCTTTTTCCCCCCTTTTCTAATGCCAGTACGAGCACATGCCAAGGCAAGCTGTGCTGGCTTGCTTTTCAAACATTAATTTTAGATTCCAAACCATTTTTGTCTTATGACCCTCCGTATCATTTTGTTTATAACGAAAGAAGGGTTACACTCTACCTTCCAGGATGGTTCATTTAAATCACGAATGAAAGCAAGGATAAAAGAAAGGGCTCATCAATGTATTGCAGAAATTGTGTATTTTCTGTTTCTATTTCATGAACTAAGTAATTAATTAATTTAATATTTTTTTTTGTGATACCACTGAGGAACCTGGGGCCTGTTCAAGGAAGCGGATTTATTGCAAACTCTGAGCTTGTTAACGTTGACATAATGGAAATCCTGAGCTTTCTATTCCAGAGTGAGATCTTAAACTCTGGTCTGCTGTAAACCTAATCAGTTAGATGTTAGGTGGTTACTTGTTATATTTAGACAGGGTTTTGTTACCACAGTGACTTTATGGACAGCACATCAGCTATACACTAGACTGAAACATTTACTGTACATTACTCTAATAATCCCTGCAATATACTAATAACTTTAAAATAATAAAACGGGACACACTGTAGTTTAAAGGGAGTTATTGAGTCTAGGCTACACATGGTCTGTTAGCATTTTAAGTTGAAAATGTTAACACATATAGTCAATAAGTAATGCTGAGCAACCTTTTAAAATGTACGACAGATGTATGAAAAATGAAATTAGTAGTTAAGAAAGGCTTCGGTTACATAGATTGTCAGCGACCGCCACTGGAAACCTTGAATCGCTGGGGGAAAATGTATATTTCCTGACTGGTGGTTCTTTGTGTCATTCTGAGTAGTTTGGGAATGTTTGCAGCCAAGTCAGTGTCTTCCATGAAAATTACAGGTGACCACTGCACCCATTCACCTTCACTTTTCCTAGGACCAAACCAGTTTCTGGGTGATTTTTGGTCCAGTACCGTATAGATATTTGGGATCAATTTCATGCGTACGACTCTCACCAACCTCTAGAAATCACCTGTACTCATTTTAGTACCTTATCCCAGGTACTATGATCAAATTGAAAACTCTGAAAACTGTGGCGAGTGATCCGAGTAGGTACTAATGGAAAAGGGGATCTAGAGAACAGCTGTTACTACGGGATCACTGACTGATCTGTAGGCCTGTTTGACGAGATCTTTAGTTTCACAGCAAATGCCAGCAACCACTAGCAACCATCTGCCAACCAGTCAGGGAATACACATTTTTCCCTCACAATGGGTGGTTTCATATGGTCACCAACAGGTCTTTATGCTCTTTCCGTTTACAGCCTATTCATTACATTTAAAACTGGAAGGTAAAATTTGACAGGATTTAAGCCTTTAATCTCTTAGGGGAAATTTAAGTTGGGTTAGAAATGACTGAGTTGATGATGCTGAAAGTTACAATTCCTCTTTTCCCCCTGCTGTACAGATCCACATTTACATTCTTCAGTCCACAGGACAAAAATAGAGACTGTTCAGACTGTGCTGAAATTAACTAACTAGCTATTCTGGAACCCAAAAAGCTGAGTTTCCTAAATCAGAGTTAATCAACTCAGAGTTAAGGGTTAGACTGAGAGTTCATTAAACACACCTGCTGGAACAGGGTGCTGACCTCCAGGTCTGGAACAAGTGCACAAATTGGTAACTGAATATTGAGGGCAGCATGGTGGTGCAGTGGTTAGCATGGTGGTTGTTGTCTCTCTGTTAGCCCCGTGATAGGTTGGCAACCTCTCTAAGGTGTTCCTTGCCTCTTGGATAAATGGAAGAGAATGGATGAAAAATAGAATATTACTTGCTAGATGAATGGGGCTTTGATTAGCAAAGAAGTTGACCTGAATTTGAAATGCATTTAGCTGCACTAAAATAGCAAATCTACACTAATCTTAATTTTAACATTATACATATATAACCCAATATACTTGGGTTGGTTAGTAAGATGTTTACCAGCAGATAGTATATGGTATAGCCAAAAATGCTAATATGGGAAGCTAATATCTCTGACAGCTCCAACAACTTACTCTGACAACTTAAACGCTTTAAATGAATAGGCGGCTTAACTGCCACGTTGCCCTGGAAGTTTGCAAAATATACAACATGTTTGCATATTCACTCACACTCTAAGAAAACGTTTTGAAATGCTTAGAATAGCTTTAGTGGTACTTCCTTTTATAGAGGCGTAAAAAAAAAGTTCTCAAGAATTCTCTTTTATGAAAAATTATAGACACCTCAGTGTTATCTAGTATCACCTTTATCATCACTATCTTTAACTAATTGTTCTCTGTATGACTTTATCAGTCTGTCACGCTGTGTTGGGAGATTTGATCCACTTTACTTTATAATGCTGCTTAAGCTCATCTTAATTTATTGTCTAAACTCAGTTTGATATTCACCTTTATACTTTATACTTTAACACACACACACACACACACACACACACACACACACACACACACACACACACACACCTCTTACTGTGTTTGAGGGTGGAACATACAGACAAGTGGCAAGTCAATGGCAATTTTTCTTTATGAGCAGTTTATGAGTGTTCTCTCAAAACTTTGATAAAGCTTTAACAATGAGTGTGAGTTTGCTTGTAGTGCTTGCAAGTAATTAAGAAGAATCACTCTCATAAAAGAGGATTATTTTCTGCCTTATATCCTGAGACAACAGCTGCTCTTGTTTGCACATTTAATATATGTACATAATACATACGGAACCATATTGCTTTTTTTTTTTGTGATACCTTCATTGATGATAGCATTTTCCAAATGTAAGGGTTTGTGTTTTGGATTTTCTTTCAGGGGGCCTATTCATTGCTTCCTCCAGCATCACATATCTTGCTAGACATGGTCATAAATAGCACAAATTCTTCCCTATTCCAACACCGTACAGTTAAGGAGCTGCTGTGGGGTTACTATGACCCAATATTGAAAGACACCATCGGCCTATTTTCACCTGTAAGTAAACACTTGTACCAAATGCCAAATGCAGCATAAAAATCAATTATTTAACAAATTTGAATGAAATATGTTTTCCACAGTATAATGGTACCACTGATGGCCCCTACAATGTCTTCACTGGAAAGGATGACATTTCAAAAGTGTCTGTAATTGACAGATGGCGAGGAGAGACGTGAGTACAATTATGACTAAAAACACCGCATTTGAAGTCTGTAACTTTGATCAAAATTAGTTTAATGGATAATTAGATGTTACATTTTAACTACAATCATTTATTTATTTTTGTTGTTAAATCCAATTGTCAATTGTCAGTGTTTCTGACAAATTCAATCTTGTCCCACAGGAAATTAAGCTTTTGGAATGATACATATTGTGACATGATCAACGGGACAGGTACGTAGGATAAAGTAACATGTGTTCATGTACATGTAACGTATTTCTACAGCTCCTGATGCAGATGAATTACCCTTATGAACAGATTTTTCCCTGATTTTTTTCCTTAGATGGTTCTTCCTTTGCTCCGTTTGTGGATAAGGATGTACCCCTCTATTTCTTCTCATCAGACATCTGCAGGTGATAAATAATTTCATTTGTAGGTAAAATTTAATTTGATCGTGCCTGATATCAAGATCTCTTGGTATTTCCTGGAAAGGCAAGTGTTGGAGCTTTACTGTAACCTTTGGACTTTATCCTATCAGTAACCACTAGGGGTCAGAGCTTTGTTATATATTCCTGTGTGAATAAAGTTGCTATGTGGAGCCAAAGATGAACCTGAATTGACTTCTTATCTGTTTGTCTTCAGGTCTGTGTCAGCTAGCTATGAGGCAACTATGAATCTTAAAGGTATTGAGGTCTACCGCTACAGCCTCCTACCATCCACTCTAGCCTCTCCTGTGGACAACCCAGACAATAAATGTTTCTGCAGAAATTATGAAACCACCAAAAACTGCACCTTGGCTGGAGCGCTGGACATGAGTTCCTGTTCAGACGGTCAGTCAGCATACAGCATATCATGATTCAATTGGAAATTCATGCATCCTAAAGTTATAAGGATTTATCAGTCTGCCCAGCAGCTTTTAATTCTCTGTTTGTCATCTTAACAGGTAGACCAATCTTCATCTCTTTGCCCCACTTCCTTCAAGGCAGTGAATATCTACGGGAGGTTGTGTTGGGCCTACACCCAGATGAAGAGCACCATAAAACTTTCCTGGATGTGGAACCTGTATGACCCAATGTTATTTTATTTTATGTTTTTTTACATTTTAGGAACAACAGGAGTTTGTAGATGCTAACTTTTATTTATTGTATATTTCCACTAGATTACTGGTTTTACCCTTAATTTTGCCAAGAGAATTCAAGTCAATATGATGTATGGACCAGCAAAAGACATTACGTAAGTTATCGTTCACCTTTTTAAAGGAATTAAGAGGTGAAAATTTGCTGTTTGTGTAGATTCAACAAATATTCCGTGGAAGGATGCAGACAGACAGAACACAATTATGCTCTTCCAAAGCAATTTGTAACTCTTACATGACTTTTTTCAGTATGAAGGTGCCTTTTTGCAATCTTGTATGCCAGTTAAAGAATTATGAAAAATGTCCAAAAGGCTACAGTGTGGTGGCTTGAGTTACCAACAGTGTAAAGAACCCAGGACTAAGCAGTCTAACTAAACAAAAAAAAAAAAAAAAAATAGAGCTACTGAATCAGGAGAAAATAACTTGGGCTAAGGAAAAATGGGATAACTGTGGGATCCTGGCAAGTGTTAGGCTATTATTTAAGTTAAGCTCAAGCATTTGGATAGCTTGTCTTGCACTGGAATGCGAATAATTTAGAAAACTATTGGCTATTTTCTTTACACGTGCCGTAGCTAACAACATCAGTTTGCTAATACATAGCATTAACCATCTTGAAGTTAATTTGACATATGGTGTTACAAAAATAGCAAAATTAAATGTTTTTAGACAGTTAGAGGCATTTTACTACTGTTTCAACCAAGCAATAATTGAATATAGTTATTTAGGTGCTTTTTATCTGTCTCAATGCATCTCTTGCCATAAGCTAACTATGGCTAACTGTAGCTTTAGAGAAATTACATGAAAGAGCTATTTATAGTCTTATATTTATATAAGAAAGTGACTAAGTAAATTTCCTAATCTTTAAAACTAGCTGAAGAAATACATTTTACGAGCAGTGAATATGAATTAATTAACTCTTTGTCCTGCAGGGTGCTTAACAAAGTGAAAGATCACACGTTATTACCTCTTGCTTGGATGAATGAGGTACGTAAAAGTAAAAAAATATGTGCCAAGCCTGTTTGCTCACTTTTTTTTTTAATAAGTCGTTTTTTCATATTCTGTGTCCTTTGTGTAACCAGACGGCAACGCTGGATGATAAAACTGCTGACATGTTTAAGAGGGAACTTCTCTCCCGCATTGATATGTTGGAGATAGTACAGCAAGTCTTGCTGATTGCAGGTGTGATCATCTTTTGTGTGTGTTTAATTGCCTTCTTCTGTGTGAGGAGGAAAAGCAAAGCAAACCTTGGATGAATGAATCATTCATTTTACTGTTTGTTGTGTGAGCACAGTGCATTGAAGCTGCTACATCAAACGTTTTGATATAGACTCGCACTTTTTTGGAAATTTTTGCGTTATTTTGAATTATTATACCTCCTGTGATAACTGGGAGGGATACTGTGATTTTGTAAAGCTGTAAAGAACTCATTTGCCAAGTATAATTTTAATTGCAAACACTGTAATATTAACTGTATCAGGGATTTCTAGAGGGAGAGCACATGGAAACTACTCTTAACTGTCAGGTAATGCATCAGACCTCTGAGAAGAGAGACGTGGAATAGTTTGCCATCATATGAAAGAAATGTACATGAATTTAAATATTATGTGAATGTATGCTTTGCTGAACTAGTGTATTTAAAATAAATAAATACTGGAAAAGAGAGACTGTTATCCAATACCCTATTCCTGCATTGTTCTTTATAATTACCAGGATATGAAAGCAGATCTGCCGTATATCCCTTTTGGTCAGGATACAGCTTGCATGGCCCCCATGGCTAAAACAAATCTCTGCATCACTTGCTTTACCTTGAGTGGCCTATAAATCAGACAGAGTGATAAAATAAAGCTGGTGGGATCACTATACTCTGGTTGTGAATGGAACTTGTGATTGGAACTTGTGATTGCTTGGTAGGAAAACAGTATTTCTGCCACTCTTTAGTAGTTTTAAATGACCCTCTGCAGGGTCCTATGGGTGTCTTTGAGTCTGCTGTTCCACACAAATCTTGCTTGTCACTTATACTGTAAAGCGTTTTATTGAGATTAAAAAAAGGCAAGTCTCTTTGCACTTATATTTGAGATTTGGTGTACAAGGCCTGTTTGAAAGTCTGAATCCTCTTAAGTTTCCATGTCCAGGTATGATCTAAATATTTGGCAACTTTTAATGTTGTCTGTTTGTGAAGTACAGTGCTGTTAGTGCTTTTGCTACGCTTACATCACTCTTGGATCTACTCTTATATCCACTTGCATTTTTGTCCACTCAGACAAAGCCTTCAAACTGGTACAGGAGTGGAAACTTTTGAAAAAGAAAGCATGGAGTCCTACTTGAAAGTTTTCTTGCTAATCCATGACTGTTGGCATTTTATTGTGTTTTTCTATCCAGGTATACTATTGCATAGTGAATCAAAATGTGATGGCACTTTAATGCATTCATAATTCCATTAATTTTCACAAGACCTCCAGTACCACAAGCTGAAATCCAGACCCCCAAACAATGACAGAGCCTCCACCATGTTTAATGGATGGCTGCTCACACTCATTGTTGTACCTTTTTCTGTACATACTGATACACTTTGAACCAAAAATGTAAAATTCAGACCCGTTGCCAACTTTTGTACAGTACTGTAGTATTAAAAATGTACAGGACCATTAGAAGTTTGTCTTGTGCTGTGGTTGTACAGTAAACACTAAGATTTGTTGGTAAAACTGGGAGTGATCTGAACAAATTTATTCAGGCTACCATGACATTAATAAATAGAAATACATATTTTTCATAAGACTAAAATTACACTGTTGACATGATGCTGGAGAGATCTGTACGAGAGAACGCTAGAAAGTCTTTTTCTCAAAATCTAAATAATACTGTATGCCTCTACAATTTGCAGACACAGTCGCAGTTAGTTGGCGAAATATGTTGAAATTATATACACATTTAAAACACAATACCTGGCACGACATTAAATTAAAAGAATGAAACATCCAAACAAACAGAGAAACAACAACAAAAAGCTCTGTACACAAGCAACAAATAATCGCTATCTACATTAACTATGCTTAGGGGGAAAAAATTGGCTTTTCACATATGTTGAAGGCTCTAAATCACAGACTACCTCACTGACAATTACTACTTCTGAATTAAAAGTATGTCCAACTTGCTGGAGATAGCTCAGAAAATGTGGATCCAATAACGGATACTGTCGTGTTTCAGCAGCTGCGTAGTTTTACACTAATTAAAATGTGCGTATCTGCTAGCTTGGTTGCTAAAATCTAACTGAGGCGAGGATTTAAGACACCTTCTATGAACATGCGTCTGTGTTGGAAATGAGAGAATTATGATACAATATGCAGATTAAACATGAGGCACATATTCATACAGTACATGTACATCTGAGTAGTAGGAATAAATATAGACGACATGTATGCAACAAGAATTGCCATTTGGGTAGCATCAGCACTGGACGTAAAGCTTGGCCTTTGAACTAATAGAGTTTTAACTTTCGTCCCTCCAACACCACACTTTTTATTGCCGTGGGCTCTTAGCATGACCATTGTTTTTGTAAACAGTATGCTAACTACATATATTCTCAAAGTCCTGTAGAGTGTCCCATAATTTAATCGTTTGGTTAGTTAAAAAATAAAATATTCAAAAAGGAGTAGCATCTAATAAACATGCATCTGCCTATTGCTTGTCCCTTTTCAAACAGCTCCATTTAACACGAGCTTTTTAAATGACTTTCCTCTTCTTTCAAGAAGCACAAATTGACTGTGAGCTGTTGTCCAACTAGTTCAAATTCTACTCCCGCTTTAAAATATAGCGGCGACCTGACATGTATTATGGTTAGCAATGTCAGCAGAGACAACAGATTCTTAGTGGCAGTCATAATAGGGCTGCTTTGATTTGTGTTGTGACTGTGAAAAAAAAAGAATGGCTCATGTCACAGCCTTCTGGTCACAGTACCTCATGCAAAAAAAAAGGACATATTGCTATATAACATTTCCCCATGCTTCTCCCTCTAATGTCTATCAACTACGGAGCTCTGAGGTTGAGATGAAAGTTGGAATATGGGGATCTGTAACTGTTTTGTGGGGACTATAGGAAGTTGTGCATGTCTGTTTTTGCAGCTGCAAGCTCCTTCTGTCAGTCCTCTGGGTGATTGCGTCTATTGCGGCTCTTCCTCCGGTCCAGCAATGGTTTCAGTTTGGCCAAATCCCCTCTGAGAGGTCCGGGCGGCTCCGATGGCTGCTGCTGCTGCCTCTGTTGGAGGTTCTTGAGCTCCTTTCTCTCTTTGCAGTATTGTTGCACTGCCAGGTTCTCTGCGGGACTGAAGGCTGCCAAAAGGACCTTGGGGTGCAAAGAGCTGGTCCATGCCCAAGGCGACTGCTGCTTGTCTGTCAGCATGCTCACCATCGCTTCACTCAGCACATGCAAACGGATTTTGGCGACAGTGCGTTTAAAGCCATTCTCGGAGGTCAGGCAGTAGTAAAGACCCTGGTCGGACAGCTGCACAGAGCGGATGAGGAGGCCGTGCTCGGTGGAGAGGACGCGGTCACTCAGCTTAACCTGCAAAAATATGCAACAAAAATCCTGGCTAAAAAAATGCAGATTTAAGGGATCACTTAATGATTAATAAGATAAGATTCTTTATTGTCGTTATTCAAGAATGTACAGCAAAATTATGGTGCACCGCCAGGATAAGGACTCTTTGCAATCAGCTAATGAACACCTATGAGAAGACTAACATTTTAAACATTAATAAAGGGACTATAGCTTGTAAGACCGTTGTTTATTCCTCTAGTATGGTTATTTTTTACTTTAATTTGTCACTCAATAACGTAGGGCACAGATTTATTGCATGATTGGAGACATTATAGGAGAGAGACTTAAGAAATCCTGATAAGAAGCCTGTCAGAAAATTGTGCAATGGCAAGGATGACTGTTGTGTGACTTGTCACACCCTCAAAAGTCACAATAGGAAACATGTTTATTCATTTATGCATGTGCTTTTATCCACTGGCTAAATAAATGCCTGTAATAAATATCTTGGTGCTATCAAGAGGGATTGCGAGTGGCGAGACTTGACTAGGACATTCAAGTCTCAGTTATTCATGATTACTGATTAGAAGATCGGAAGACGGCAAACTGTGAATGTATATTTTTTTTCTAAAAAAAATTGAAGTACCCCAAATTTTATATGTGTTTACTGCTCAAAATTATAGTCAATAATGACTAAAAGTACGCCTGAAATGTTAATTTAAACCTAAGAGCTGTGGGAAGTTTAAGTGTTGGTTTGGCCACCTGAAAGTTAAAGTTAAAGACTTAAACTTCATTGCAAATGCTTTGGTCACCAGGATATTGATGTCATTGCCTGTACTTTATATAGAATGCTTCTTACTTGTCCGTAAACCCCTGCCAACTACTTGCTAAGCAGTAACAAAACTGTGAAGAGTGTGACTTAAAGTGGAAACAGAGACTATTTGTCTTCATAGCAAAAGCTGCTACATTTAAAAAGGTGTTATTACAGCAGTAAGGAACAACCTTTAATTTGAAGGCGGACATTGTCTGATTCAGATGTGGTTCGCACTGTTAGAAGTTTCACTATAACTCAGAGGTTAGTTAACAAGTGTTTGCAGACAAGGCCTTCCATGCAAACTACAAGCCACTGTGGCAATCTGTGCGATCAATGCACTAATAAGGGAGTTTTGGGGGCAGTGCTCTCCTCGCAATCGATTTCACCAAGTGACAGGCAGCAACCTACACCAACCACTTGCCAACCAATTAGGGAACACACATTTTTCCCTAGGGACTAGAGGTTGCCAGGGTGTCACTGCAATGACAGGTATTTTAGATATATGTGCTTGAAGCGCTTGAAGCTTCATGAGACTCGTCCTTACAGCTTACCACTGCATACAGCATACTACTTCCAAATCAGTCTGGCCTCAGTTTGGAAAAGGCTCCAGTGATTACACATCATAAAACTGAAGTGATTTATTTTAAGATCCCCCCCCCCACCATGCAACCCTGCTCGACAGAGGTGAGAGCTAAATGCATAAAAGATGTGTTTTCATCATGCCCAGCTTTGTTTAAACTTTCGCTGCCTTTTAAAATGCTCCCTCTATTTTAGTGCCGTCAAACATTTGCAAAATGTTTCCCCACTGAGCATTGAGTGTGTCGAGCCATTAGTAAAGGCCCATATCATGTTTGATCTGTATCAACACTTATTACGATGCTCCCCTGCCAATAAGCATTAAGAGTGTCATTCCTCAGGCAGTGCACATCCTGATAACTCATATGAGCTCACTGGATTGTTACGACATGTTTAATCTTTGCTGTAATATTTAACCAAACACTGGAGCAACCCCCTACGGGCTGACAACAGGACATCTAATCAAATCGCTTGTTAAATTCTGCAGCTAAAGTGGGCCGTAACATTGACCTCTTGGAGGTCAATGTTAATGGAATTATGAATGCATTAAAGTGCTTTAAATGTCAAACAGACCTCTTTTCTTCTGTCATTGTCTCGCTGAATCAGCCAGCGAATAGACGCCTGAGGAGACTTGGGAAGACACTCCAGAAAAGTGGTGTTGTTTTTTACGCCGTACTGTGTCATCTCCACTGCGTTCCTGTAGGCTAACAGACACAAAGACACACACGCAGACACAGGCAGACACATGCACAGGGTCAAGAGAGGCAAATTCATACGTCATTTGCTGACAGACACAAAGAGCACAGATGGACTCAAATCTGTCTCAAGCCTCAACAGTGAGAGCGAGATGTTGACTCAAAGCTTAGTCTGACACCTGCGGCACAACCGAACCCCACCCCAGACTTCATTTTCCACTAACAATATACACTTTGACGTATCAAACCAATTCACTTATTAACTGTGTCATTTTTCTTCTATCTAAACGGTTCATCACTCAGTCGGGTGTATGACAGGGTTGCGACTAATTAGCGGTAATGGCCATATGGCTGGTTCCCCACGCTCGTGTTAATTTAGTAAAGTAAACTGTTCATGGAAATTGAACACTCTGGGGAGCCGATTCTCTCCTCTCATTAAACCGCACCTGCTAGTGGACTGGATATATATTCATGAAGAATGAAGTCTGGAGTACGAACTCAAAAATAGGTCTAAATGCTAGCAGAACACACACAGAAATATGTGCAGGCACAGGCTGTGTGTAAACCTCAAATGAACTTACATTAGGGAAGAAAACTTACAAATCCAGTTTATCAAAACAGCATTAGCATTCATGAAGAGTCATGTTTCTGGCCACCTATACAAATATTAGTCTAATAACTAAACCTCTTTTAGCTCTGTTTTGAATCTTTCACATTAATCAGGATGCCTTGAGCCATTGTTACCTATAAAAGGATATTTCCGGAGCTTTAATTACCTTTTAAATTGAATCCTCTACACTGAGTGAGTGGATTTCCATGCATAATATCCTGCCTTCTGCTTCTCCTGAAAGAAGGAGGGAAAAAAACTTGGTCGATGGCTTACAAAATAAAATACACAATCATAACAACCGTCCGTCTGTCATATTGAAATGGTGGAAGAAGCAGTCGCTGCCAAAACAATATGAGGAAAATCTGACCATGTTCTTCCACTCGGTGTAGAACACTCATATATAACAGCTTGAGGAAAAAAGCAAGTAAACAGCTGACACATTTCAGAGACATTCTCTGCAGAAAAACAGAGACGCGCCTTTTGTTCTACGACCAAACTAAATTTGGCCTGCGTCTGACTGAACTGTCAGGAGACAGGCAGCTGGTCCTTAAAGGAACCAGAGAGACACCGGAGCAGAGGCGAGGTGTCGCTCATACCTCCTCGTCTGTGTTATGTCTAGGCGCCGGAAGGGAAACTACAAAAGTGGAATCTGGTTTACACAGAAGTGTGCACTGAAGGATTGCAGTCATGTGATCTTTTGGCCTTCACAAGTTTTGAGCAAAACGTTCTATTCCAGTTTAACGTATAGCACATCAGTTGCTTCCCATGCTTTGGAAAGTCGATTGGTTTGATATTTGCTGTAACTTCACTGGCTACTGTAAACCTCACTGTAATAATCCTGCAAATTGCAAAATGTTAAGTATAATCAAAGTGAACAAAAATAGTGTTTAATATTGAAAAATGTAAAAGTCGCTAATGTTTATTTAAGACTCGTGAAAGTTTTGGGTTTCCTGTCAACACCTATCAGTGCTTATTACCACTGAATAATTTGTTTGGGGGCTTGCAGAATGTTTTTTCATGCAATACAAGAAAGCAATCCTCACTGGGTACAATTAAATTTAATACTAGCAGGAAACTGTAGCTATAAACCCTCAAACTGGAAACGTTTGTCTACCTTTTGCCAGTGGGGTAGAAGCGGGAGCAGCTCAGTCCATCCCAGGCACAGTAGGGGTCTCTGGCGAGGCAGCAGTCAGCGCAAGCTGAGCCGTAAGCCTGACAACGGTGCAGGGAGACCTGCGAGACCCCGAACTCCGAGCTGGCGTACAGCTGTTGCTGCAAAATAAACAGTTCAAATGTCAGCAGCCCTGTTTGTCTTAATAAGTGGCCGGCTGACAGGAAAATGAGGCAGGGCGCAAGAAAAAAAAAAAAGGCTTATTATTTCCGTGCCTTTGGGAGGCTTATCACGCACAGGAGATTACTGTTGAATGCATTACGTAGTGGCCTTGGACAGTGAATGTTTTTAAACAATATAAGTGCACTTAAGATAAGCAGATGCATACATAACATATTCAGAATGCTTACTTTTTTAGAGGATATTCTTAAGTTTGTAACAGGAGCCTTAGTCTGAAAAACAGCAAAGACAAAAACAAAGTTCAGAGCTATGTTGATGAAATAAACGTAGAACTTTCTGGAAAATATACATTTTAATTCACAACACTTAGATGAGAAAACAAATACCAGACTTTATGGTAATTATATAGCAAAGAATGGGCGCTCTCAGAGTTCTTGTTTCATGAAATACAGTCCAAAATAAATCAGGCCCTATGAAGCTATTGCCTATAGAGTGTTCTACAGGAATAGTTCTCCAGGCGTCTTGAAGGAACCTCAAAGCTCTTCGTTGGATGTTGGCTGCTTTTGTTTCTATTCTGTGTTATGATGATCCCACACTGCTTCAATAATGCTGAAGGAAGTCAGGGCTTTGGGGAGGCCAGTCCATGACTGATAGTTTTCTATTGTATGTTTTTCTATCCAGGTATCCTTTTGCTGTAATGGCAGTATGTTTGTGATTGTGTTCATGCTGGAAGATAAAGCTGTTGCCATCTGCTTCCCAGATGGTATTATTAATGCATACTCTCTGCATTTATATTCCCATCAATTATGATAAGATAAGAAGCCAACAATCAGTCATGAAAGAGCCTCCACCCTCATTTGCCAATGGCAGTAGACTAACTGTTGTACCTCTTGCCTGACGTCTTCCCTACATATTTATGATGGGGTGAACCAAAAAAACGAAAATTGGGATTCATCCCTTCAGAAGACCTAATAACCTAATATTTACTTTACAGATGTTGATATTTATGATATTAACTTTATAGACTTCAAGACACCTCTTGATCTTGAAAAAGAGCTTGCAAAGCAAACATAATCACAAGGACTGCAATGCTGGTGCAAAAAAGCACAAATCAGTCTAGAACAGGGGTAGGCAACTCCAGGCCTCGAGTGCCGGGGTCCTGCAGGTTTTAGATATCACCCTGGGTCAACACACCTGAATCAAATGATTAGTTCATTAGCAGGCCTCTGGAGAATTTCAAGTTATGTTGAGGAGGTGTTGAGGTAATTTAGCCATTTAAATCAGCTGTGTTGGATCAAGGACACATCTAAAAACCTGCAGGACACTGGCACTCGAGGCCCGGAGTTGCCTACCCCTGGTCTAGAATAACTCATGTCTTTAGTAGCCTGAGAAATAAATTGTCTTCTAAAGAGACAAATCTCTTTAGATTGAAGTCTATGTGTGGCACCATTTGGTAGAAAGATCAAAGGAGACTTTTTCTTCTGATCACAGGTCTATCACCTAAGATAAAACAACATATGCAAAGGTTCACTTGAGGGCGACTTCCAGACTTGGAGTATGGTAGCATGTTTCTCATCACTCTACACTGCTCTGCACTACAGAACATCAATCTCGCAAATGCCACCCTGCCTTTTGTCTGTCTGCCCTTGGTCTTTGTGTAGTGGCCAAACACACCCTCCTCCCAGTCCCTGCCTTTGATTTAAGGGGAGAAAGGGGATTAAAGTGAAAGAGGAAAAAAAAGAGAGAAGGGAGAAATACAGAGAGCAGACCTTAAACACTTCCAGCTCCTCCAGGATCAGATCGTCATGCAGGGAATGGTTGCTGGGTAGCACAATCACCTTCTGTATTGTACCTTTGTCTGAAGGGCAAAAAAGCACACGTCTCATGAGTTCCAACCACACACATGCATTTAACTACCGTGTGAAACAGATACGGCTACGCAGCAATGAACATCTAGAGTTGTGAGGCATCAGTAAAAGCAGAACACGACTGCTGGTGGAAAAAACCCCACCAGCTCCACCAGCAGTCTGTTTTTCTTTGCCCATGTTTGCTTTTGAATTAGGCATGATAGCCATGACCAGTTTCCAAAAACAAAATCAGCTGTGACAGGAGTGGGAATGGAAGCTCTTAAGGCAGGTCAAGGACCACAAAAAGGGCAAAACGCAGCTCTACCCTCATCAGTATGGCTCTTTTGGCCTGGGAATTTGAGCAGCAGAGCAGGGAGGAGGAGGAGGAGGGGGGTACAGTAACAGCTCCTGGAAATGCCTGATAAGACCGTCTCCCCCATCCTTGAGACAAAGCGCCATTTCAGGAGCAGATATGGGTACGCGGCACTGGCTACTCTTCAAAAATCAAGGCAGGAGGAACAGAAAGGAGAGGCTGCTCGATAAACACCGGCAGCTGGGCGAGAGACTCCCAGAGCAGTTTGCTGAATGCCAATGTTCACACGTGGACAATTACAAGCATGAATGCACACACACTTCTGCTAACAAATACACATTTTTCTATTATCTAAATCTGGTGTTTTTAAGCACAGAAACACACTGGCATATATTCGACAAATATTCACTACACAGCAAGCTGTTGCACAATATTGCATGTCAACTAAATCAGAACTGTAGAACCTTTTTGGAACTGCATCACTTCGAATGCTTAAGTTATACTTCTGCAGCAAAACTATGTAGAGCCTACCATGCAGCTAATGTAAGTGACTAATATTGTTACCAAACTTTATGTTTCACATATTGTGTAATATCTAGGGATGTGCACGTCAGGTCATGGTGTTAGATTATGGTATAGGCTGCAGTGTAGGGTTTCAGAAGGTTTTGCACTTATGATGCACCGACAGCATAGATGTAACGATTTAATGGGTCTGGCATTTTTCACTTTTTTACTTTGTCAGTGAGGTTTGGATCATTGGAATATTTGTGATACATGACAGGTTTCTGGAGACTGGGTGTCATCTTGTCAGCCAGTATTTTGGTATATCTGCTTATGGCATTCATGTTGTCATCTGTAAATATCAGCCCACCACTTCCTCAGCCTTTTGTACTCACGCAGTGCCATAAAACGGTAGCACCACCATGATAATACTGTTATCACGTGGGTCAATGGGTTGAAAATGAGAAAAGTGTTGATCATACATTTAGGCTGATGAGAAAATAATCACATGTTACTCTGCTTTATCTCAATGATCACATGCAACTTTTGTTCATAAAAATTATTTCTGCAAGTGCAAGCCATTCTAGCATTTTCAATGTCTTGACATTTAAGTGATGTCTTACAATGGTGTCCCTCATTTAACCTTATACTCAGGAGGTAGCGACTTTCTAAAAAAGTGGCAATCCATTATAGATCCTTCTTCCTTATGTAATGGAAAAAAAAATCTACTCTTAATGGACTTTATCTTTTGCTCTGATCTATCTGTGCACTGATTTATACTGCATGCAGCGCCATGTTGACCTGTTTGAGCTGAGTGGCAACAACACAAGTACTCCAGCTTATCTGTGTATCTGATAACCAGCTGTGTCATTGAGTTTCCAAGCAATAACCTGTTCAGAAAGAAAATGTCACAATCAGCCTCTGTGTACTGCATGTCATTGTAAATGAATTTATAGTAGCACTTAAAGCTCACCTTCCTAGAACAGGAATATGGTGGTGCCACAGTCTTCGGAAAAGACGATGGCTATATTTGAATATGCTGATGCCACAATGTAGGTCTTATATGGAATCCAGTTTGTATTTATTTTATACACAGCGTCTTTGCACCGCAAACATTGATCTCACTTCAATTAAATATATTTAAATGAGCTAGTAAAATTAAAATATTGAGATGCTGGTAGTCTGGCTGGTTCGTTTTTATATTTTTTTGTGTGAAGAAACAAAGAAAAATGCATCGCACTGCTCTTTAAGAGGCAAAACACCCATCCTGTAATACCTGGACTATTATGCCTCTACTACCAGGGCTTTGTTGACCTCACTTGGACCTCGTGCATCTTCTCATCAGGTGGAAAAAGCCAGAGAGGGGCTTAACTTCTTAAGGAAGTTAAAGCACACTCACCTCCCTCATCACCTGCTGAGCTGACCCTCTACTGGTCAGCAGTAGAGAACCTTCTGACCTGCTGTTGCACAGCAGGAAACAGGAAAGATCTGAAACAAGTGGTGAGGGCAGCAGAGTGTATTATCATCTAATATAAATAAGACCTTCCTTTGGTTGTGTTTACAACAGCTGACTGTAAAAGAAAGCTAGTTGTATTATAATGGACCACACCCACCCCAGACATCAGCCTCTGAGGAAAAGATTAAGCTCAATCAGGTCCAAAACTAACAGATAAAAAAAAAAAACAGTTTCTCCCCATTGGCAGTAACCAGTAAGCCCCTCTTCGCTCCCTAAAGCTCTGTTGACCTTTAGCTCTTTTATCTTTATAGTATAGTCTCTTTTTGTCTTTTGCTGTCAAAACAGCTGAAGAGCTACGAAATATTTGTTCTTTGTTGCACGAACAATGGCAATAAAGGACTATTCTATCGTATTTCAACACAAAATTACATCTATCGGAAATATTCTGCACGAGACACCTGCCTAAGGTATTTTTTAAATACCAGAACTAATACCAGAAAGCTGAGGCCTGTAGAATGCAGTCATATTGTTTTTGTCACATGTGTACAAAAACCATATTTAAAGTGTTTCTGTATCTGAACTGCAGAACGCGTACCTGTGCCAAGGAAGAGCACCTGGTAGTTGCCGTCAGCGGCCATGACCTGGTCCACAGCCACTGCCGTGTATTTATAATCAGCATTCGTACGAACCACCAGGGGTCTCCTCCCCACCGGATAGATGGCGTTAAACATTACAGGATGGTTGCGGACAAAGGTCACCACATCATCTGGGAACTCCTTTGTTGTCTGAATGTCAGGTGTGAAGGCTCCACCAGGACACTGCAGAAACATAGGGCGGGTTTGAACAGTGCAAAAACAAAATCTCATTCATTCATTTCCACAAGTTCTTTTTCTTTTTATCAATTAATGAAAATTTAAATAAACAGAAAATAGTATTGCAAGTCCTGCTGCAGAGAAAATACCTTACTTATTGTTTAATGGCTTTAAATTGTTTGGAAATGTTATTTAGAATATAAAACAATATGATCATACGCTCATATGTTAGTAATTATCGGTTATCTTATCATATCATGAAAAAGCAATAAAAAATGACTGTCTGGCCTAAATGTAACTTACAGTTCCAGGCCTTGGGTAGGGGATGCGCCCCTGGAATGCAATCCACTGAAAGTTGGGCCCTTCTCTATGAGCGAAGGGCCCGTTGAAGACTGTGAGAATGTCCGCCATGTTGTACACGCACACTGCCGAGCCTTTAAACACGGAGCTGAAACGACATGCACAACCTGAGTGAGACACTGCAACAGGAACCAGTATTCACCATCTCAAGACCCTCCCAGATGAAATATTCTGAGGTTGTTTATTAAGGTCTCCTTTTCTGAGTTGAGCCTGGGTGAACTTGCTGTCACGCTCCGCTGACAACAGCTCACCTATTTCCTCCTCGATGGTCTGATGTGGTTTGGCTCAGCCATTTAAAACCACACTGCTTAACACATAAAAGAGGCTTTGTTGAAAAGGCGAACAGAAGCGTATTGTGCAAAGTGGAGAGAGGGAGGAAGAAAGCAGGAATAACACAGAGCTCAGAGACCTCGAAGACCTCAGTGTTTAGTTTGGCTGTTTTTTTTTTGAGCCAGGAGACACTACTGCAGGCTCTACAATCCTGAGGTAACAAGTGGATCGAGGGTTGTGGGAGTGTCACACTTGGTTAAACAAACAGACCCAATTAAAGATCTGACTAGAAGTATCGAGTGATCACTTTTTCAAACTTCCAAATTTGCCTTGTTGCCCTGCTGGCTGTGCTTTCTGCTGGAGGAGAGCAGTTTCAGTAATCAGTTTGTTGAGAACATTTTTTTCAGTTACCACAGAAGCTCATGGATTTTTTCCTTAATCCTCTTTCTTTGTGTTTTTTAGTATTTTCTTTCCTATTATGTCATCCATGTCTTTTCCTCTCTTTCACTTACTGAGGTCCCCTGGGCCATGTATGTGTTCATTGTTTTGGTTTCTATAATTCATTTTCACAGTTTTTGCCTTCGTTGACTTTTGTTGGTCAACTTTCTTCCTTCCTGCAGTGTATTTTATTTCTTTTTGTTCTTTTTTTAGTTCTTTTTGGGCCCATTTTAACAACTTAAACACAAACCTAATGATCCTACACTCCTGAACTCCTTGTACATATCTGAAACTGTCTTTAACTTTGTATTTCATTAAAAATTGCATTGCAGCTTTAAATGAATTTTAATCCATCCATCCGTCCGTCCGTCCATCCATCCTCTTCTGCTCATCTATTTTAAGGTCACAGAGGTGCTGACAGTGTAAAACATACATATAACCTCCACATTGGACAAATGAACTCAAGATCTTCTTGCTGTGAGGCAATAGTGCTTAGTGCACCACTGTGCTACCCTGAATGCTGAAATGTTAGACATATATACCATACTGTGGCTATGAAATGAAATGAAAAAAATAATTACCAGGATTTCAAAAATTACATAAATATCTAAAGATTATTATGTTGTTTTATGTTATTTCTTAAATTTCTGATATTATAAAAATACTCTGTGATATCAGGCTATTGTCTTCCAATATTTTTCTCAGATTTTTTTTATAATGTGTGTTTATCTAGTTGCTAAAAAACATGGCTGGGTTTCAGCTATTTAAAAAATGCAGTAACTAAATTCTTTGTGCACTCAACAATCCTACAGAGTATGCTTATGGAAGACATCCAACAACATCATGTCATATGAATTCTAACATTCACATGTGCTATAAATGTATCCCTCGCACTTGGTCTGCAACATGGCACAATGCTGCAGAGGATCTTGAGGAAAGAAAATCAAGGAATACCATATGGCCAAACCACCAGGACACTGTAATTGATAGTTCATCATCTGAATAAGCTGTTCTGCCACATGACACATGATATTTATATGTAAGTGGCCCTTTGACAAGCACATCCCCATCTGCTGATATCCCCTGAATGATTACCATACCTCTGAGGCCTACAGGAATGTTACAGTTGGCTTCATCGGCCTTACCTTGTGGAAGTGAACACGCCAAACACCAACAGGCCCTTGGGCAGATCCGTTTCCAGCAAAAACACACTTTCTATAAGGGAAAACACACAAAGAGAAAAGCACACACCTTACAGTTTAATACCTTCAGCAAATTCCCCAAATCTCATTTCACATCATCCTACAGATAAAAAGGCCAAAGAGAGATGAATGCCTGATAAATGTACATGTTGACAGATGGAGTCTGGGTCTCAAATGCTACGTGCTGATGTTTGAAATTTGAGGCTAAGGCGAAGAAAGTCCTGGATGTGCTTATAGTTGAATACCAGGTAACCAAAAGCAACAGAACAATTGTTTTGAAACTGGACAAACGGCTGAAATTCTTATCCAGACCAAACATGGGACGTTCCCGGGATTGTTTATGGAGAAAGCAATCTGTTTGAAACCTTGGAACATAAATAGCAAGCTTTTGGAAATTAGCAATCTCTTTGGTTCTCGGCATTATATTTTTCAAACAGTAAAATTTGTTTAAACTTGGTCCGCAGACCATGAAGACCCCGAGCATGGAAATGATGTGTCAAAAGTAATACATTGATAATAACAGGGTGCATTGCTACAAGTATGTTCTTCTGTTTAACTCACCAAGTTCATCAAAATGGGTTTCCGTGCCATCCTCTTCCACAACTGAACAAACCATCCTGGCTTTAAGAAAGGTGGTCCATTTATTGACCAGGCTGCGCTGTCCGCCAATATCATTCTGCCGACAAAAGCCGCACATAGCAACGCAAAAACACAAAAGAAACTGTGCTGGTTTATTTTGGCGAAAGCAAAAGGGACTTACCGGACACACTCTGGCCACCATGGTGTGGATATTCTTAGTATTTCCACTGTTATCTGTTAGCCTCTCGCGGAAGAAAAAATACAATTTGGAGTCATTGGGGTCTGTTCCATCTGGTATGAGGTGGGCGTCAATGAAAATGGGCTCTGAGTGAAACAGTAAAAAAGGTAAGAGGCCTTCTAGATCTTATTTGTGTGAATTCATACTTTACATAGAAGCTCTGACATGTGCTCACCACTAAGCCACTTAGAGTTGTGCTGATCTGTCCGCACTGCATTTCTCTTGGTTAGGCTCCTGAAGATGGCAGCATCTGTCCCCATGAAGTCAATGTACATGCCTGAGAACAGCTCCTGATCTAGAAGAATGCACACAAGCCCAATCAACAACATTCCCACACAACAATCCTGAAAACATTACCACAATACACATAGAGCCTTGCATGACTTTGGTACATTCAGATGCTTTAGTAATATATTTATACCGTTATTATTTTTTGAGAATGAACTCAAACCCAAACGCCTATAGCACTAACGGCACTTACACTCTGCGTGTGTCCTGCTGTTAATAAGCATGTTCCTCACAGCTGCTTCATGCTTTTTAGCATTCCTTTTCTCTCACTTAATCGTCTATCAGTTTCGGACCATATGTTTTGGAGGATGTGGGGCAAGTTAGGGGAGGATTAAGGGTATGTGGCCCGTATCCAAGCCAGCTAGCTAAGGGGTGAGTGTTGACAGTACTCAGACAGCGACACAGGGTCCAAAACATGAGGATTTGGAAATGAAACACAGCTTTTTATTGAGCCCAGACACTGCCTCAGATCTTTAGGGGCTCCGCGTGCTGCATCACTGCTTTCACAGCACTGCCTTTGACCCTGGCTTTGGAGTATTCTGCACCCTTCCCTCTGGCTCCCTCCCGGTGATCTCTGACATCGCTCACTGGCTGGCAAAGCTGCTGCTGACATGGCAATACTCAGGTGTCAGAAAGCAGAGCTGAGGGTGGACTGTTTCGCCTTTAGACATGTCAACAGCAACCAAACACCCCTCGGCCAATCAGAGATCAAAGGAAGGAGAACTGGAGAAAGGGATGGGTTTAGCCTGACTTGACTGAAGTATTAACCTGGGGATTTCTTGTGTATTAAAATTAAACTACAATTTTAATTCACTTCACTTTTCTAGTGAGAAGGTGTAGGCTACAATGTTTATTTGAATTTGTAGACCCAGTTTTCATAAAAGGAAAATGTTATTTTATTTTTATTGCATTTCATATTGTGCAAACTGCATTCTGGATATAAACAACCACATTATATCAGCTCTTTGCAAGCACCTGCACAGAGAGCATCCTCATACAGGCACATCACGTCTTTAACAGGTAACAATCTGTTTTTGCCTGTTCATGTTTCTAAAGTAGAATCACTGTAGTGTTCATTTTAAAGTCTCTCTGGGCTGGTTTTCATCTTGCTTTTGATGGCCGCTTTGTTTTATAGGAAAAAACTAAAGAAACTGCGTGTCCTCTTTAGGGCAGTCATTTGTTTTGGTGTGTTTGAGTGTGGCCCAATTGGTTAACTGGTAATTATGTATAATGCATTTTGGGTCATTTTATGAAATAACAAAAAAGTATTGTAACAAGTAGTGTAACAATTAATTCCTCCAGCCGAATTACTTTGAAAGAAAAATGATGAGTAATGTGAAATACATTACTTTATTTGAGTAACGTCCCCAACACTGCCCATGACAAACTGACGTTTGAGGTCAGAAGACACGCTGCTAACTTTAGCAGTGTGCAAGTGACATGGCACATAGCCATGTATATACAAATTTTAAAGAAAGGTTGGGTATGCACACCGACCTTATAAACAGTACATTTGGATAATGACTGAAACTAGCACCACTGAAGGAACAATGGGCTGGGAGGTCAGTTTCTTCATCATAATTATGCAAATTCTCATGACCATTGATCAACAACTACTGATCAAAATATTTCCCCCACTTAAAACGCTATGTCCAGATGAACAGAATCAACCTTTGGAGACAAATTAGCTAATCTTGATTAGCTTTTGGAGACTAATTATCTATTGTTGATATTATTTGTTCAATACTTGCTAGCCTCTATGAGCTAGCCTCCAGTTTGAAAAAGTGACGCCAGTTTCAAAGTACCTTCCATCGTATAACTTCTATTTGTTCATTTGTTCAAGGCTCATTTGATTTATTGCCTAAGTAAAATGTTTATCAAGGACTCTTGAACTTCATTTACAGCCAAATAAATAACAATGCAGATTATAACTTAGGGTGTAAACCATAGTCATATGGCTGCATACGAAATGAGCCTGTCTTTGGTCGTCACGTCACAACAAAGGTATAGAAAAAGATTTCCCAGGCAAAAGGTCAGAGTGGCCATCTTTTAAATCTAGTGGCTTATGCATACTCTTGTTTTTGCTTCAAAAAGTTCACTCCAAAACAAAAGAAATGTAATTTTGTAGTAAAAAAAATAATGTTGTTTTCAGGGGTTTTAGAAAAAAACAAGAAAAAAAAATAGTAGATAGCGATTGAGGCACCTACTGAGCATGACAGAGACTGTATTCACTTGTGGATTGAAGGAGCACCTCCCTTTTCCTGACTCTGTCCTGGAGTCAATGTGAAATACTTGTTCCTGCCACAGAGAAAAAGAGGAAGTCAGACATTTTGGAGACAGTTTTATATGATAAGTTCTTCTGTCTTGTGCTCTCTACCGCTATAAAACTGAATATTTGAGTGCAACAGTGTATTTTGCGTCCCACAGAGTAGCCCTGCTCAGAGCCTCCTTTAAGGAGACACAGAGGCTGTCCTGCCCTGGTCTACCTTAACTGCTCCATGTGGGATAGTAAAAGAACATTCCGTTTGGGAGGAGAAGAGGAGGAATTTCCCTGCTTATTTGTTGGACAGCCAACTCCTCTTCTCAGGCGGAAATGCTGCCAAGTTTCAACAGCCTCCTTGCGGCAGACTGGACAGTCCAAGCACCGCAGCAACCTAGGTAAATTATAGCACTTCCTGTCCCATCTTATTTAGATCTTGCCCATGGCGATGGTGCAGCTTCCTTGAATGGGGATGACGTCAGCTAAGCACTGTTATTCCAGGAAAATATGCCTGTTCGCCAAGAGGTTCTGGAAGTGGATAGACTCCATCTGGCAGGTCCTGTCATTAACCTCTACACTGCAAAAAATAGCCATCTTATTAATTTTAAAGCCCCTCTCATCTGAAAAAATGTCTTATTTATTTGTAATTCATTTGGCTCATTGACCTTTGTTAAGCAGCGTTGCTCCAAAAATTTGCACAAAGATGAAGGGATAAACGTGAAGTTCATCATCCAAAGATTATTTGATATTAAGTTCAGATTGTTTTTTTCCTTTTATTAGAAGGAGATCTATAAAGTAATTTTTTTTCAACAAATAAATATGCTATGTGCACTCGTGAAAAAGCAGACTTACGACACCATATAAAGATTTAAAGACTAAATAAAAGATTATTTCCCCGACTAAGACTGACATTTATCGCAGTATGTAATTCACTATGTGTTTTAGGAGTACTTGAAAAACTAAGGCTGAAAAACACTAACACGTGCAAAAAAATCTCGTTACATCCATTCAACAGGCTGCAGCACGTTCACAACCTAGAGCAAAGGTCCATGATGAGAGCTCACTGTCAGCTTCCCACTACAACAGCTTGTTACACTTAACAGATCACTTTCTTTGAGACACTGACATGTTTGAGTTCAGAAGTTGCAAACATAGCAGTCTGCCTGTCAAACAAAAACCCCAAATGACAAAAGGCCCCGCGGTGAGGAAGGAGCCTGGTTTGCAGCTCTCTCGCTCTGCTTATTAGTGTTTGGCAGCAGCTGACGGTCTGTGGCTGAACGCTGCTCGCTCGGTGAGCACTTTTCTCCTGGAGGGCTTCCCCGCTCTTACTTTCAGGGCTGTGTGGCTGGAGATTAGAGCTCAGAATACCATCCTTGACACTAGACCTCAATTTTCTCTCTCTCAGCCTTAGCATCTCTGCTCTCATGTGGCATCAAATTGACTACATGAAAACTGTGCTCAAAAATGTTATGAGATGTAAGTTTTTTTTAACCATATGTTGACACTTCCAACTCCTAGGAGATCTGCGAAAACAATGTTGTGTATGATTATAGCCATTTTTCTCATGCACCAATTGACATCAGCTTAATGTATTTTCCGCACTTAGCGATTCTGAATTTTGCTGTTCTCATTCCAACAGTCAGTAATACAAGGAAAATTCAATTTTCATGTTATTATAGCAATCAGTCAAAAACATGTCATGTTGGGTTCAAACCTCTAAATAATTGTACATAATTTGATTTATTGCAAAAAAGGGGTAAACAGACCTCTTGAGGCATTTTTTATGATTACTGTCACACAGTGAATAAGATTCGCTTATTTTCTCTGTGTGCTAGTACTCACACTAATTTCAGTCGACTAAAGTTTTCAGGAGCTAAATAAATTACATCATTTTAATTATATTTGCTCAACATAGTTGACACAAGCTTGTTTTGGAAATAACAGAGAAACCAAAACTTCCATAAACTTTACAAAGTGTCCTTAGCCTCACTTGTGCACCATTACAACCCAGTCATTTACAATATATTTACAGATGTACGAGAGTGCTAGACTTTATTTTATTTTTCCACTCTTGAGATCATGTTTGTGTATAATCACTCTGCACAATGAGAATTTTAATCTGTAACAGCTGTTACAGTGCCAGTTGCAATGATCACCTACTCGGTGCTCCCCCAAAACATTTATTTCTTCATGAGTTTGCTTTTCTAATGAAGTGCTTCCTTCATTTATACCCACCTCTGGTCTGCGGCCCCTGTTGACGTACACACAGACAGGACTATACGCTCCACTGCCACACATGAACAGATGAGTCCTGTTATAAGGCTGCACCACCCGGATGAAGTTCCCACAGCCGTGCTAGAAAATAAGGATAAACAATGAGAGGCACATGCTAATGTAAGTGATGTAGTAAGAGAACAAACGAGACACTTTTTCTCTAAAAAATTCAATTTTGAATTCATAAGCTCTTGCTTAATTTAATGAAATCAGGGATTTAGCATCTGTATCCTTTGCTGATCCAGTAAGAAGGGGCTTTCTGGTATTAAATGTAAGCTAATGTGAACTAACTGACTTTATGACTCTACTTAGAGAGACCTCAAATAAACTAAACTAAATGAAACAACTGAACTGACTCTTTAGACCAGTGGTGTCAAACATGTTGCCTGAGGGCCAAAATTAGCCTGGCAAAGACTTTAATTCTGCCTACTGCCTTTACAATGTGTCCACAGTGAAATAAAGAACAAACAGAAAAATATTTAACAAAAACGTTGTTTTATAATTACAGGGCAGTCTGGGAAATGAGCTATCAAAACTTTTTCTGTAACTTCAAAACATTTTTCTTCCAATTTAAGCCCAAAGAGCCATGCTGACTAATTTATTTCATTAAATAGAGCATTATTTCTTTATCATGTACAAAAACTGAGATGTGCTGTTGAAATCACACTTTTCCTTATATTAAGAAATCTCAGTGATTTTAATGTGGAGATAAACTTGAGATCAAAGTGTGCTGTATGTGGCCCCTGATGTAAAATAAGTTTGACATTCATGCTTTAGACTGTTCTTTACTTCTTTACTTAATTTTAATATTAATTATATCGATAAACAGAGGAAAAGTATGTAGACTAAAGAAATTTTAATACGGTACTTTCTTTAATCAAAGGCAGCCTCAAGTGGCCATGACAGGAACTGCAGTTTTTAGGTCCTACAGCACTGGCTCAGGATTGGTAGTGCCATAACAAAAGTTGAATGTTTTAACTGATTTTCATTTATAGCCATGGTGCACTTAGTCCCACAGGTATTCATATTTGAAGTTATATTTAATCTTTACAGTTATTACAGCAATAACAAAGATAATCACTGCTGCCTTTTTTTTTTTTAATACAGATTGCACCAGACCAGCCGCTGAGGAGAGACCTAATTCGTGTTATATAGCCAAGGAGACACACAAATAAAGAACCTATTTATCGCTCTGGAAGTATCTCTTTCCCATATGCGGGAGTAATTCAAACTTATCTCACTGTTGTTGTGACGGTTATAAAATCACATGCTGCACAATAAAAGGATCCCAGAGCTCACAGGTCTGGTATTAAGGGCAGTGGAAAAAACGTGTCAGCGGTATATGTGACATATCTAGGTAAGACTGACTACTACTCTCACTTCATCTCTTCATCTGTGCTTGCACTTTCCAAACGCCACAGCTGTAGGTGTGCTGGACTTTGTGGCTAATTAAGCCCGAGTTTGCAGAAAATGAGTGGAGAAGTGAGGAGAAAGAAGTGGGGAGAAGAACACATGTCCAGGGAGCTGTCAGGAACTTGGCCAAGGCTGCTGGAATGACAGCTGCTGCGGCGCATGGTCACTGCACAAGGCTCCACTGAGAGCGATCAATGCAAAGTAACAAAACTTTTTTACTGACACACACCCACATCTATCATGTTTCGTGCTGTTTTTTTTTTTGTTGTTTTTTTAAAATCTAACTCTCTGTCTGTCTCATCAAATCCTTCTGAGGCCTTTCAAACTCAAATATATATGAGCTATCATGTTTGATTTCATGTTTCCTGATATAAATACAGCCTTCTTTTAAAGTTGATACATTTGACAAAGCAGCAAACAGACTTAATATCCCCCATGATGCTACATGCGTGACCAAGCTTGTGAGAGGGGAGACTGTGTACGAGAGAAAAAAAAAAAACTGCAGTGTGGTGTAAAAAGAAAAGAAAGGGAGAGATGTTAAAGGAGTTGGAAAAAGTGACCAAGGAAAAATGGTAAGATGGAAACAGAAAGTAAAATCTTTAAAGGAAAACTCGCAGGGATTCAATAAGAAAAGGCATGACAGAAGGGAGAAGAGGCCATCAAGTGGCTCCACACAGAGATGGCTCACCCAAATATTTGTGGTAGCCTGTCTGCAGCAGGCTTGCTATGAGTCAGAGCAGCACAAATCACACCATGACTGGAAACAGCTTTTTTTTTCTGTATCTGCAACAGCATGTGGAATAAAACCCTGGCTCTGTTAGCCCAGGGCCTGTCAGATGATGCAGAGATGGTGGAGAATGTGTGAAACCATGGAGGACTGGCAGCAGATTGACTCTTTTTTAGTTACATTAAAAATTAGGCCTTTCTTTTGTGTAAAAAGTTAGTTTTTCTCTTTCCATTCGCATGTCCTCAGCCCTGCTGTATATATAGACAACTGTGCGTGCACTTGTTTCAGAACAACCCAATTAGAGGAAAACAGATGCGGAGGAGGAATAAATTGACTCTCGCTGTATGTCTTCATTAAACCTTGTTGTAGCTAACAAGTGCTTCTCAGAACCAGGGTGGCTTATGAAATATCTGCGTCACTAAGCTTTGAGTCTGTTTTTTTTATTTTTTATTTTTACACTGATCCGTGGCATTTCAATCGCCTCCACACCTCGATCTTGCACTGACTAACTGTGACGATGCCACAAGGACTCCAGGCCAGCCGGTGACCCTGCAGACATCTGCTGCTTGATAGAAATACAGTTGGATCTGACGCAAACTCACAGATGCGAGAGGGAAATCCCAGGAGGCAACTTCCGCTGCAGACCCACTTGGAGGAGCGGATCTTGGAACAGCTGACTAAACCTTTAGTCAAGATTAGGGGTGTCAAACTCATTTTAGGTTGTGGGCCGCATACAGCTCAGTCTGGTCTTAAGTAGCCTGTGCCAGCAAAACTATTGCTCAGTAACCTATAAAATTCTTCATGTTCTTTTAGTGTGAAGGAGTTTAACAACACGTCTTAAGAAAAAGAAGAGTAATTTGTCCCAGTTTTAATGACACTGTAGTAAATCAAAGAAACCCTGTCATGTTGACTCTTTGGGCCCAACTTTGTTAAATAGGATAGCTCATTATCTGTATTTTGTCCTGTAATTATCATAACTCAGACAAAGAAAATACGTAGAAGTGCTGCAAAGGAAACCAAGGAAATTGTACAGCAGGTAGTGAAAAAACAAAACAAGAAAAAAACCCTTTTTTTTCCAAAGCGGTAATAGGACAACAGGGGGTTTGGGAGGTCTAGATTGATTCTTGTCCACCAAATATAATAATAAGGAGCTTTTTTTTTTGCCTTAATTCTTGTCAAAGGGAAACAACTTTCTTCTTTCTTTATTTGTGCATTTACATTCAATTTGACAAATAAAGAAATAAAGCTTTCAATGAAAAATATAAGCAAAAGTATGTTTTTCTAATCATACTTTAACTGTTCTTATTGTGGGACACTGACAGATTTAATGCTGAATGATCCAAAAATGTTTAAAAATGACCGTTATGGGATTATGATAAACAAAACTAAATATTACATTTATTGTTTAGCTAGATAGTGATATAACTAAATTTGAGCTAAAGGGTGCTAAAGAAGCTAAATAACTTCTAAATAAGCTACCTTTTTTAGTTAGCATTGGGGATTTAGTTATGAATTATTAGCGGTGTGGCTACCTTGTACTAACTAGCTGTCTGCAAGCAATGTTAGGCTTCTTGTAGGTCACTAATTTCACTTCATAAATGTTTTTGTAGTGTTGGTTCTTAATATGGCAAATAATATGGTGTGCTGTAACGTTAATTTCATTTACTTACTGTCGGACTGATTAACAGATCAGTGATGTGTGTGACCCATCTTTGATCTACAGGGAGTGCAGAATTATTAGGCAAATGAGTATTTTGTCCACATCATCCTCTTCATGCATGTTGTCTTACTCCAAGCTGTATAGGC